TTACAGCTTCATGCCGTGTTTTGCTTTCTTTAATGCAAAATTCATGCCTAATAGACAAGTAAGCAGCATTCAGGCTGGCTGGATTGTACAATTACGTGTGAGCCAAGCATATGGCTGAGCGACGTGTAGGCCGCGGAGGACACGGTGTCGATGTTCGTGCGAGGTTGGTTGGGCTTATGACACGCGAGCTTTGTGGAGGTGCTTCTTGCACCGTGCAGAGGTGGCGTTCAGGCCAGGCCACGATGTCTATGACTTCAGGTCATGGCACATACATGCAGCTGTACGGCGGTGTGCGTGCTGGAACATGAGGTATTCGGGGATGCGAGTCTGACGTGGAATTGCAGAAGTCTCCGGGCTTCAGCATGCTCGGTGCGGCGTGTCCATAGGCCTGCCTATGACATTGCTCTGTCTGGCCTATGAGTCATGCACAGACATGCACAGGCTACGACGTTCGGTCCGTGCAGGTGACGGACGCATGCTCTTCGTAATGGAGCTTAGTGCCTCGATCAGCGCATGATGTTGCTGACGTGCAAGCCAGGAACAAAAATAAAAAACCTTCGTGTTCTTTCCCTTTTTATTTTATTAACCCAAAATTCTGCTCTTCTAGATGCAATCCGTAGCATGCACGTAGTTGTCTATGTACTTCCGGTAGAAATTCTTATGCACACGTCATGTATAATAATTGCGAAAAAACATAATTGCCTAACTCGATGGTAAGACAAACGCAATTTGATCTGCAAGATCCGTATATGTACCTTGCATGACGCTAATTTGATCTAACTCACATACCGGGTAGGGCAGTGGCTAGTAGATACATACCGCGTAGGGTGTTTGGTATTGTCGTACAACTATCTGCTTAACGACAACGGTGTATATCGATGTAGTTCGTATCGGCAGCAAGTAGAGGTAACAGATCCGTTCCGTTAACAACGTCGGAGATGTCGATGTCGTCGAAATAGTAGCCGCGAGATGTCGGCACAAGCGTCGGCGTCGAAGATCGGCAGCAGCTTCAACGGCGATGTCGACGTAGAGCTTGTCGAGCTGATAACGTGTTATAAAACATGTTGCCAGCGGTTAGGACCTTCCCCTCTCCATCTCTCATGATCAACATAGTAGATGAAAGTAGAATACATAGACACAAGAGATAGGGAGACTATTCTTTATTTCTCTCAATATTGGTGATTATAACATAGAGCTCCCACATATATACGCCATGTTCGCTTGGCTTATAAGCCGTACTTTTCAGCCAACGAACAGTATTTTTCTCTCACAACAAATCAGCCAACAGTGCTTTCAGCCATAGCTTATCAGCCAAACGAACAGAGCAATATAGTCTTGTGAAGGTCTAAAAGTTTGATAAGAGCCTACATACAAATGGACTATGATTATGATTCCTTCTTTTCCTTTACTTTTAAAATAGAGTCTATATATTTTACAACAAATTCCACGAGAGGTTAGAGTTGAACTTGGAAAAATATCCTAGGTTTCTGTTAGATGTCTAGTAGCCCTGGGTAAATTTTACCGAGTACCGAGAACCAAACCGAAAAACCGAGAACCGAACCGAATTTACCGAGAACCGAAGTCTCGGTACCCTGTTCGGTTCTCATTTTCGATGAACCAAAATTTATTCGGTAAAATCAGTTCCCCCCTCGGTTAACCGAACTAACCGAGGAACCGACCCATTAGGCAATAAGACCCAGCCCAGCTGTCTTGCACTCTTGTTGAATGCTGATGCCTTGCTTTAGAAGTTAGCACTCTATTTATATATTTGTTACTCTGTTTGACTGTTATATTTGTCACTGTGGTTTTGTGTGCAATCATGCTGAAATGATGTCAAAATTAGCTATTGAACATGCTGTTACATGGGTTTTGGGTATTGTTTGGTTTTTCGGTTCTACCCGGAACCGAACCGAAAAAAACCGATACCGAACTTGGTCGGTTCCATGTTTTTTGAAGAACTACTGGTTTTCTGAGAACCGAACTTCTTCAAAAACCGAAGAACCGATCGGTTCGGTAACGCCCAGGCCTAATGTCTAGTGCTCAACTACTAACTATGCAGTGCATGGATTTATATTCCGCAAAGATTAGGAAGAAGGTTAGTCTTAACCGGCAAGTTAATGCTCACCCTAATCCCTCTACTGCTTTGGCATGGTCCTTGCAGTAAAGTTGCTTGCAATTCAAGTAGTCGCTCCATTTTCCAATCGTGCCCTGGTGCAGCAGTTCGATTATACGACCATAAAGTGGCGTTCTAAGACATGTGTGAACGCATGCAGATCATCAAGATCTAAAAAATAATGAAAAATGAAAGACTTGAAAACTAAGACGACGAGGGAACTGAGTGAGAAAGACACAAAAAAAAAAGACGAGAGCGTACGTCCGTTCGCAGGATCGCGTAGGCTGACAAAGACACGCACTGACGACGCAGACGGCGATCGTGCCGCCACACCCGACAAATCCGATCGTTTTCTTCAGCAACGACTTCCGTGTCTCATTTTCTCACTGCATCCGACCTGGAGAGAGAACGAGTGTTGAGGTGGCAAAAGAAACCAAATCAGTCCAATGGTGTCTATGCAATCACGCTACCTGATACTTGCTCGGATGTTGCCTGTTGTTATGGGTTCACGGCGGCACCGGACGAGTCTGAACTTTCTCTGCTGCTTCAGCCAAAAGTAGCCAACCCTCTCTGTTGTTTCTATTTTTCCAAGCTGCCAGAGAAACCGCAGGACTCCGGCGGCGCTGTCGTCTGACCGAATGACGACCACCCTGAAAATTCAATGTTTCCAATGCAGATCGTACAGTACTACCTATCCTGCTTAGCTACGTGCCTCCGTGTGCTTAATTGGAAAAAAAATGGGTGGAAGTGTGACCACGGCGCCGCCAGGACCTATCACAGATTTACCATCCGCGTCCATCCTCTTGAATTTAAGAAGTACTCGTTCTATTCTTTTTCACATGTCATGTTGGCCCCGTTCGCTTCGCTGAAAAAACAAGCCGAAACACTATTATGGCTGATTTGTCGTGGGAGAAAAACACTGTTCCAGCTGAAAAAACAAGCTGAAAAGTACGGATTATAAGACAAGCGAACAGGGCCATTAGCTTTGTTTTAAGTCGAGCATTTTTAACTTCGATCATCAATTTAAAAAAATGTGTACGTGCACATTAACGATATAAGATTTATGTTTTTAGATTTACTATAACAAGTACTTTCTTAAAATCGATGGTCAAAGTCTCTTCCGAGACATCCGGTAAATAATCAATGGTCAAAGATGAAATATTTAGCTTAGGTTAAAACAAATACGACATATAAAAAGCGACGGGGAGTAATATTTGTTTTCCAGCTATTTTTTCTAAATTTATAGTATACAGCAAATATGGACACGTGTCATGAATATACAGCAAATCCTCACGGCGTACGTCCTCAATTTAATTTCTTACTGCAGACAGTCGCCAGGCGCCACCGCGCCAGGCATGCAGAGTTCTAGGCCCATTGGTTTTCTCTTCATGGGTCAGACGCGGCTACTCCTGTTTGACCTACATGCAGTGCAATGCAGCCACATCATTAAGGTAGACGTTGACCGGGATCATTAACAACAAACACAAGTCAGGTTAGGGTTTGATCAATCGGCGATCGAGACCGTCCGGTCAGAGGCAGATGAGACCCCGGAATTGACAGGGTCCAGGGTCAAGGGTCAGCCAAACGGACCGCGGCGTCCCCCCTCCCCCGCCCCCCCCAACCGGAATTCCAAGCGCGCGCCCGATCTAGATGCGCCGTCAGCTCACTCGCTAAGCTGTGTACGGACTACGGAAGATGATTTTGGCCCTTCGGTCAGAGAGACACAGCAGCCTAGCTAATTTGGAAGCTACTCAGACGTATACTCCGTACTTGTTTTTTCGGTGAATCTTCTCATTGGCTGGCTGGAGATTCTGGCGGTTAATACAACCGCTTGGTGTGGCACTTGAAATTAAATGTTGATGATTACTGTGGTCAAGGTCAATTGCTGGTCTTTGATCTTGAAATCAACTAGGTATTTATTTATTCATTTTTAAATAGTACAACCAGCTTCCTTTTATGTTGACAGTGACTTTCCTTGCATCTCTGCTGCTGGTCCGATGCAGCGTGCAGCCATGCATGGACTCGGACTCGGAAGTCGGAACTCTAGTGGCATGATGACCGCTAGCAGCTGGCTAATGATAAAATAATGCATGCCGCGGCTTAGTTTTCTTCCAAAGATAGACTGGAATGCTTGGAGGCGATTCAATTGGACTGTCAGGAAATCTCGTCAAACTAATCATATTAAATTTTGAAGCTACAATGTTAATCAGCTGATTGAGTATGCTGAAACCTCAATTAGGAAATGGAACATTCCATTATATGTGCCAAGAAAGTACGTTAAAGACCCGTTTCAGAAAGTAGAGACATATATACGTCAAAGAAGAATGTGCACAGTTGTGCTCTGCTGGATTTCTCTTGGCACCGATTCGACCGCAGTTCGGTTCAGTTCTGTCTTTCATTTATTTGTTTGTTTAACTTGATTGAATGTTGAACTCACCTAGGACTAGGAGAAACTTTTAAAATAGGACTTAGATTAAAAAACAATGGGCACAGTCAAGTCATGAACCATGAATCCAAGACCACGGTCCGGACGCCGTACGAGGCGAGCTCAAATTTTGAAATTCAGCGCAGGAACATTCGAAGAATCTGGTTAAATTCTACTCCTATCTCTCTCTGTTCTTTAGTTTAGTAGGAAAAGAGGAAGAAACGAGGGGTAGCTTCAGACCTGCACCGCAATTTCTAATTTTCTACTCCCAAATCCATGATAGCACGTGGGCCTCGGTAGCGGCTCTGGACGGGCTAACTGAGAAGAAATCGGCCCATTTGTTTACGAACGCGGGCCGAAACGAGGCCACCAAGGATCCTGTTCCGGCGGCTGGGCTCGGCTCGGCTCTCAGGAAGAGCTAGCCCGGACGACACAGGCGGCCCGCGGCCAGCCCGCGAGCGCATGGCCAGGGGCGACCGGGCGAGGGCTCCACGGAATCGCGGCCACGGCGCGCGCGCGCGGGTGCTGGGCGCGGCCGGTGGCGAGCTGACACGCGGTACGGGCGGCGGCGGGGTACGTGTCGAGGGACGACGGGCGCGGGGCTCTGCGGTTCGGTGCAACGGAGCCATATTTCTCGGGGCAATGCCTTCGGCACCTCCCACTCTTCCCCTGCCCGCCTGCGCCTCCGTCTCCTGCCGGCTCTCCTCCATCGCTACGATTCCCAGGGCGAAACCACCAAAAATCCCAGCGCAGATCACTCGCCGGCCGCCTGCTCCATCAGATCCTCGCAACCGACAGCGTAACAAACCCCGGCTATCCTCGTCGCTGTCTTCTCTCCTTCACACTAGTACGTACTAGAGGCCGGCGGCTCTGCCAAACTGCAGGGAGGGATCCATCCCGCGGTAAGCAGCAAACTGCATGGCAGTTGGGTAGCACAAGGTGCTGCTGTGCTTTTTGTGTGCGTAGTATATATAGTCTGGTAGATCGATCTACTGATCTTGGTGTTGGCGCTTGGTACAGGGGCCGGCCGGGGTAGCTAGTTCTACGGTGATGAGGTCCATGGAGAGCACGGACTCGTCGTCCGGCGAGTTGCCACCGCAGAAGCAGCCGAGCTCGGCGCCGGATCTCCCGCCGGGGTTCCGGTTCCACCCGACGGACGAGGAGCTGGTCGTCCACTACCTCAAGAAGAAGGCCGCGTCCGTGCCGCTCCCCGTCGCCATCATCGCCGAGGTTGACCTTTACAAGTTCGATCCGTGGGAGCTACCTGGTACGTAAGCTAGCGTGTGTACCCACTTGATTGATGAATTGTTTATTGGCATGATTATCTCATCTTATTGTGTATGCAGTGTAGTACTCTATTAAAATATTCTTTTAATACTGTGCACATCTTTTTGGAAGTAAATACTACTATGTGTTATACTATACTAGTATATGCACATCTAGCTTGCATACTTCCATGCATGTGCCATACTACTCTCACGTACTGTGGCCTGGACATGATGGTTGATCAGATAAGGCGACCTTCGGGGAGCAGGAGTGGTACTTCTTCAGCCCGAGGGACCGCAAGTACCCCAACGGAACGCGGCCGAACAGGGCGGCAACGTCCGGCTACTGGAAGGCGACTGGCACAGACAAGCCCATCATGGCGTCCGGTGGCAACCGCGAGAAGGTCGGCGTTAAGAAGGCGCTCGTGTTCTACTGCGGGAAGCCACCAAAGGGCCTCAAGACCAACTGGATCATGCACGAGTACCGCCTCGCGGATGCGGCGAGCTCAACCAGCAGCCGGCCGCCGCCGCCTTGCAACGTCGTCGTCGGAGGCAAGGCCACATCGTCTCTCAGGGTACGTGATGCGCTACTGATCTACAGTGTAAAGACCGGAACATAATCCGATCTACCCTGAGATTGCATTAACAAACATATGCATGCATCAATAATCTCTCAGAATGTTTTCGCTAATATAATATAGGGTAAAGTCTAATTTACAACCTTGAACTCTCGTCAAAGTCCAGATTTTAACCTCGAACTCCAAAACCGGATAACTTTGGCCCTCAAACTCTCGAAACCGTTCAACTTTCAACCCTGGACTGATTTCTAGGCGGTTTTGGTGTATGAACAGTAACTTTTGATATTTTCGGGAGGCGCTGAAATTTTATATTATTTTTTTGAGCGTCTTAACGTCCTCAAATGAAAAAACTTAAAACTACAAAATTGTAGATCTCATTGAGAGCTACAACTTTGGTATAAAAAGTATTTTTATTTAACTCCATATAAATAATATATTAGTGCTCTAATGCGGCAAGCGCTTAGTAGGCGATTATTATGGTGCTGAAATTTTATATTATTTTTTCGAGCATCTTACTGTCCTCAAATGAAAAAAAAATTAAAACTATAAAGTTATAGATCTCATCGAGGTCTACAATTTACATATAAAAATTATCTTCATCCGACATCGTATTTAAGAGTTTTCTATTTTTTGAAATTTGAGTCTCGTCACGCGACAAAACAATACTGTGGAAATAGAAAACCCTTCAATACGCCACTGGGCCAAAGTTATCAGGTTTTGGAGTTCGAGGTTGAAATCCGGACTTCGGTGAAAGTTCAAAGTTGTAAATTGGACTTTACCCACTGGGTGTTATGCTGGTGTGGTGATCAAGCTCTAACTAGTGTCTCAGCTCGACGACTGGGTGTTATGCCGCATCTACAAGAAGACCAACAAGCTTGGAGCCGGCGAGAGGAGCATGGAGTGCGAGGACTCCGTGGAGTACGCGGTGGCAGCCTACCCGACGCATGCCGTGGCTGCCATGGCCGCCGTCGCAGGCGGAGGAAGGGCGGCTCATCATAACGGCAATAACTACACTTCGCTGATCCACCACCATCACGAGGACAACTTCCTGGACGGATTCATCACAGCAGAGGACACAGGCCTCTCAGCGGGCGCCAGCTCCCTGAGCCAGCTAGCCGCGGCGACGAGGGCAGCTGCTCCAGCGGACACCAAGCAGCTCCTCGTCCCGTCGTCCTCCACCACCCCATTCAACTGGCTCGACGCCTCGGCACTCGCAATTCTTCCGCCGGCAAAGAGGTTCCATGGGTACAACAGAGACACCACTGACGGCGGCGGTACTTCCCTGTCGTCGCCGTCCGAAAGGAATAACCAGCTGGCGGCTGTTAGCGCCGCCGGTGCCGTCGATAGTGGCGCCTGCAGCGGTGGCACTAATGCCATCGTTCCTACATTTCTCAACCCGCTCGGCGGGCAAGGTGCGGCAACCTATCACCACCACGCCATTTTCGGCACACCAGTAACGCCGGAAGCTGCCGCGGCCGCCACCGCCACATGCGGTTTCCAGCATCCCTACCAGCTATCCGACGTGAATTGGAACCCGTGAATCCGTGATACCGACATTGCCTATGGGCATGCATTGATGCATATGGCTGGCTTTTCAGGTAGTCAGCATCGCCAGGAGCTAGTACCAGTTGTTATAGTAGTCTCATTCAGTGAACCACAAGGACAAAAGTGCATGCATATATATTGCTGCATTGCCTACCACGAGCACGTACTTGTACGGAGCTAATTAAGCAACCTTGCAACTAGGTAGGCCAATTTGAAGCAAAAATCTAGCTAGCCAATACTTACATAGATATATTAATTAGCCATTTAGCCTCTTGCATCTATAGATTGAACCCTGCATAAAATAAATTTAGCCTGCACCCCTGTTCATGACATCCCCATCATAAAACAAAATTAACTGCTGTGTATACATATTTTACTATATATGCACAATTCACACGGACATGTAGTTAACAGGGAAAATATATAATATAATAGGGCAGGTACTATACGCCTATACAGTAATTATATTGCATGCATGTAGATATTTTGTATGCATGTAGATATTTGTATGCTTAAAGCTAAAAAAAAAAGATATGTGTATGCTTGATTCATGCATATGCACACGCATGAACAATGTTCATACTACATAGTAGCCTACTGCATACCTACAGAATTTCCTAATTGAGCCGCAGCTGTCTATAGATCTTGGCTTGCAATGGGTTGGTTGCTAGATATAAAAGCCGTCGTCGCCCGCCATTGTCGCCATCTAGGCACCTGCAGGTTGTGTGCACAATTAATATAGCTGCATGTGTAATCTATGTTTCGGTTGGATTATTGGACTGTAATGTATATACAGACGAGTTTAAAAATGGCTAGACCATTTGCACTATCCCCTGTGGTGCCATGTCACTTGCACCCTCATATATCTGCGCTGAGAACATGCCATAACGGAATCTCTCGTCCAGCAGCCTCCTCCTCATTCCCACGTCACTGTGATGGATGGATCAATGGCCAACTTTTCCCCCCTAATACTTAGCTAGTAACAAACTATGCAGCTTGATGGCGGTCCTGGCGCGAACGGTGCTCGCGAGAACGAACCGCGCGCGCTTGCTGGCGGTTCGTCGAGGCGCCGTCGCGTTCACCTGCCGAGAAAAGGCAAAAACCACGTGTCCGCGGGCGGCGTTGGCCAATGGCATGTACCGGCAGAGCTTGGCATGGAGCGCGCGAGACGTGCCCCATGGCACGCGCGCCGCGGCCATCGGAGAAGGAGCCCTGCCGGCCGGGGAGGAAAGGAGGTTAGGCCTAGACGGAAAGAAGTTAGGCGTACGCGCGCGCGGCAAGCATGCATCCTCTGTTTTTTTCCTCCGACCCGGCGCCCGCGCGGGTGAAGCGAGAGAGCCAGCGAGCGAGCGAGCGTACGGGCGCTCGAAACGTCGGCGCGGGGCATCGCGGCCCGGCGCCTTTCGGCACTGTTGCCGCTGGCGTTCCCCGAATAGGGCTAGTACGTTTTTGGGGTGATGGTACCCGCGAGATCGCGACGTGGACGGGGCGCGCATCAAAATCTTATCTCTGATACGGCGGAGGAATTGACCGCTGCCGCAGTTCGCGACTTTAACCACCCTCGTTTTAACCCGGCCCGGGCCCCGTGCACCCGCAGCCGCAGGCCGCAGATCACTTGTGTGGCTGGCGGCGCTCGTCTGCACGTCAACGCGCCGCCCCGCGATTCGCCCGCGTGTTTTTACCACGCCGTTGCGGTCTGCCTGGTTGGTCCCGCGCGATCCAGCGCTGCCGCTGCGTGCTAGCCGCTAGGTGTTGCGACGCTATTGCGTAAATGCCATGCCATGCCGGCCGAGTGCTCGTGCGTGATTGGCTGGCTGGGCAAGTGTAGTGGTAAGTAACCATGGTTAGTGAAAGGGTAGATTTGTACTCCTACATCGGAAGGTGTATAATTCTGCTGTCACTGTCCCCCGACAATATGTGAAGCAAGAGACGACACATATCAACGTCGAATGGCAGCACGAGGGGTTAGACAAGCAGATTGGGGGAATTGATGCCGATATTTTTTATTGCGGGATACGTATTAGGGGATAAGGACAAGAGAAATTTTACTTTGTGCGCGCCTTTGGTGTAAAGCACGTTAGTTTGCTTGGACAAAGTTAAAAGTACGTCCGATCGAGCAAACCTGTGATTTGTTCCTTAGCTGAAATCAACTCATACTAAGCACCATGTACAGTCACCATGTATGTGCATGCATGGTACTTAGTCCGTTGATTGATACACACACACACACACACACACACACACGTGTCCAGTCCAGCGCCGTATGACGTTTTTGTCATGCGGAGGCTCCGCCACCTTTCTTGCTGCCCGCTGACAATAGAAAAAAATATGTTCTTGTATTTGAAATCTAAACTTGAAATCTTTCTTATTTGTCCACTCTGTTAATTTTGCTTTCCTATATGACATTTCCATATATCCTATGCAAAAAGACCGTTTTGCCCCTTCTGAAATTTTTGGCCATGACGTTACGCTCACAGGATGATTATTGCAAGTTCTCTCCCCATATGTTGGTTGTTGCTGTCTTTCATGGCAATTTTAAAAAAAAAAATCTTACACTTTTTCTTTTTTATTTGCTTGTACAAATTAAGAGATCTCAAAAATTAAAAGCACCAGCATCATCTTACAATATGAATTAAATAGGTGCATAGAAATGACAATAACATCCAGGTTTCACATGTAGCATGATATTAACATAGCTTACATAATTTTAAAATTTAGCATCCAGGTTCATATATATAGAAAAGACAATTGTTATACATGTTCACATTACATAACATCCATTTTGGGATATGGTAATCACAAACTTAATCTTCTTTTACACCTTGTACTCGTTGCAGGACTTCTAGTTCCAATTGTTTTGCTCCTTGTGGCCATTGAAGGGCTAGCTTTTTTGTGATTGCCAAGCAATTTTATTTCCAACAGAAAACTAGTATTTTCATCCATCCTATGAGTGCAAAACGATATGCATGAGTACTGACCATGTACATTTAATCCTAAAAATCTATAAATCTAACTACTAATTTGAACTGACCTGAACAAGCCAGTCCGATCGGCCGGCCCTAGGCGTACTACCGCGCCCTCACGCCATGAGGACGCGTGCCAGCGCCATGTGGTCGCGCCCCCGCGCCGGGTGGCTGCAACCCCGCGCTGGGCAGCTGTGCCCTCGCGCTGGGCGGTTGCACCCTCGCTCGGGGTGGCTGTGCTCCCAGAGGAGTCTCCTCCATCCTAGCTCGATCTAGGGTCGGAGGCGGAAACTGGCTAGCCCATTTTCTTTGTCTACCTTTATTTTCTCAAAGGGCATTTTGGCCTTTCCACATCCTCCGAGGAGAAGGTCTCAAGGTGCATGCCAACAGACCTAACGGAAATGTCATATAGGAAAAAAAAATGACAGAGTGGACAAATAAGAAATATTTCAAGTTTGGATGTCAAATAGAAGAACACAACTTTTTCTAGTGTCAAATAGTAAATTTTCTCATCTTTATTCGGTGTGACCATGGTGAGCTGTGAAGATTAAGGATAATTGATTACAGGTTACGTGTTCCTCAGGCTAATCGGCGACGAGCTGAAGAAGTAGTGGCAAAATTATCCTGAAGTCGTCGTGGTAACTTGATACTATACATGGGTACGGTCGCTTTCGATGGCGGTCGAGGATAACACACCGTGCTCCTAATCGGGCCAACCACAGGGTTACTTCACGGTATCGTCTGTCCCGCGTGTGCCGCCAAAGTTGGATCAGTCGAGACTCAGCCGTTACAGCGATCCACTGATGGAGTGGTATATTGTTATTCTGTGTGCACCTGATCCAAGAGTCAAACCGGCGATAAGCACAGCACACTGCGGCTGGCTCTGCCGTTGATGTGTCGAGCGAAAACGTAAAAGCGACGGCTAATCACGCACTAATCTAATAGCTATCCGTCCGATCCCTGTTTGACAAAGGCTAACCAGGCCAATCTCGCGTGCGCGGCGCGCTAGCTGCGCCGTTTCCATTCACGGGCAGGCGAATCGAAGCTAGCTAGGTTTGCAGCCACTAGGCAACGATCGGCCGGTCCCACGGTGGGCCCGGGCTTGCCATCTTGGGCAGGGCGGCCGCGGTGGGGAAAGCGGAGTGCAACGGCTCGGTCGCCTGGCTGCCGCGCCCTGGATCGGCCGCGGCCCGGTAGCTGTCGCGTATACGAGTTTATTAGCAGCTACCTCGTGCAGGAATGGAGACGGACGGAATTGACGATGAGGATGAAAAGGTAATCCAGCCCATGTTGGGCCTAATCTGGAACTCCATAACGGCCCGTCAGAAATATAATTCTACGTATGAGCCCACTCCTGATACAGATGCTCCAATCCGAAAGGGGTGTTTCGGGCTGTAAAGCCGTCGCAGAAAACTACTGCTGGGCCAGCAGTCCACTCTGAGACTTGGGCTTTCCGGCCCCAGTTAGAGCTTCATTTCTTTCTTTTTCTCATGGAACACAAACATCTCCTGAAAAGGTTGTTCATACGCAACGTGACAGGTAGAGATAGGTCACTGAAGCAACGATTACCAGATAGTTAGGCACAGCCACGTCTTCCACTCTCATTTTTTTACAGGTCATAAGTATACTTGAGTGCCAATCAAGTATATGCATGTTTCTGGCAATCCACACGTACCGTGTTGGACTCGACGACCGAACTGCAAGCCTATGCAAAAACCATCGTGTCGATCTGCCAAATGCCAGCGCACCGCGTCGTGGTCAATTGCACGCGGTCGAGCAACCTGGAGAGGTAGGCCGCACCCGACGTCACCTCGATGCTACGCTACAGGCCCGGCTGCCGTTCCTCTTGTTCGCGACAACAGAAAATGTCCATGCGCCGCGCCGCGCCGCGCTTAGCGTTTAGTGGGGGCACTTAGGATGCGGCTAATGAGTGATCAATCGCCGCCCGGGCGTGCGCACCCCTTTCTTCCCTCGCTCGGCTGCCTAATGATCGATCCGATTCCGACCCAACGCACGCGGATGGTCCACGGCCAGGGGGGAGGGGGTAGTTGGGCATTCATCAGGAGATGGATGGATGCTGCGGCAAGCCGGCGGCAAGTGGGCGCGATCATGGGATGTGATCGCCGGCCGCTCGCTGGGGGCCCCGCCGGAACTCGAAGCGAAAGCATCATCGGCTCGAGCTCAAATTGTGAATGGGCAGGTGTATTCGGACCCATCATAAAGCGCCGGCGGTACGAATGCGGGAAGATACGTGCAGGTCGCAGGCGCAGAAAGCCGGAGACGGGCCGGAGACGAAGGAACGAGCGACCGAGCAATTAGTGCGAGCGGCGTCCATGGGCCATGGCCATGCGTGCGCACGCGATGACGCGCCGGCTTGAGGTTGACGAGCCTTCCTTGCACTGGGCAACGGATTTGGTTGGTCGATTTTGCTGAGATTTTCTAAGGAACTTGTAGTACAAGGCTCCTTTACCGGGTTGGAGACTTGTAGAGTAATAGTATCTCCTTTTGGATTTAGATACGTTACATGTTACTTTCTTCTTTTAGAAAAAAATTGGCAGCAGCGCACCCGTGCCGTTCTTTTGCGCCGCGCCGTCGGATCAAGTCGGATAAAATACTTCCACAGGAATTTAAGTGCTAGAGGTTGTTTATGCAAAAGAGGATAAGAATTTCAGTTTTGCTAAATTGATGTGACTTGGGCTGTTTGGGTCAATTAGTATCAATATTAACAACTAAAATTAGTACTAAATAGATCCAAACATCCTAGCAAATATTAAGGCCTCTTTGATAAGCTACAGCTAGTTACTAGTTGAGCTAAAAATTAGCTCAAATTAATTAGCTGAGATTGGCAAACAAATAGGTGAAGGCTTCGCTAAAAAATTAGTCCGCCTATTAACCCTCCTGTTTGGGTGCACTAGAGCTAATTTTAGCTAATCTTTAGATAGGAAGCAATTAGCTCGTGTATACAAACAGACACGTCCAGATACTGGCTCAAAACAAACTACCTAACTAAATAAAGAAAACTACTAATTGGCTTACACAAAATAAGCACCGCTAGCTGTTAGATGAAGGATCCCAAGATGGCTCAACAACTAATACTAATAGCCGCGTTAATAGAAAACTATTACAGCAACTCAATAGTTTCTTTATATCCTTTCATGCATAAAAGAAATCTCTCCAACAACTCATTATCTCAACAGTCAACTCCTAATCTTTCCGCATTTGGAAATCGATCCAATCGGGCGGTTAGATACGCGTGTGTATCCAATAGACGGGTCTGGAGGTGGAAGGACATGGGGCAGAAAAGGAGAAATGATAGAGTTCCCAATACAACCTCGAGTCCTGTTTCCACCTCGCGCAGCTAGCGCACATGCTGCTCCTCGCGCGGATGAGGGGAGTGAGGCAAGCGGCTGCCGCCACCACCGCGGGAGATTGTGCCACTCGTCAGGTTTCTCCTCGGGTTATTGGTTGTGTCCTACATCATTGAGCAGTTCATCTATCGCAACATTGTCCTGCTGGAGACATGTGGCACGCTTTCTGAGCTCTTCTCATGTGCCACAATGATGGCATGGCAACCCATGGATTTTATGGGCCGAATCCATATCCACCCAATCCATAACGTGACTCGCCTTCTTGGATTAAATTGAGTTTTGGGTGGATAGATTATGTAAACCCATGCATCGCCTATGTGTTGCGATCAGACTCCACCTGTCTGCACCCGCAAGTTCCACTGTCACATGACATTCGACGAAAACCTTATATTTTCCTTCATAAATATGGTCTTTCCAGGCAAATGTCGTTCTAGTCAAATTCTATCCATGTTCAACAAATTCCCCTCAAATCCCTTCCAAAAGGAGACATAATGGAGCAATTAAAAGAAAATTGATGAAAAAGGGTTATTGAAAAGAAAGAAGACACGAAAAGAAAGCTCTATGCTCTCAAGTATTCAAAAAATTCCGAAGGGGTCCATCAGATAAAAATAAAAAGTTGAATTTAAACCATAAAACTCCCCAAACACAAGAAGAGGCTCTCGTCAGCTCGTGTGCCCCCTCTTTCCTAACCTCTCTCAGTGTTCCCGTGAGCGCAACGACTGAACGAAATATGTTCACATCCATGATCGATGAAAGGCGCAATTTTCAGTCCACTTGAATGAATACTCCTAAGATCAGCGTGTGCAGAACTTCTATGATAATTCAACGGGTTTTATGTGACAAGTATATTTTGTAACTAACTACTAGTTGCATCACTTTCGCTTCAAATCGGGTCAACAAAGACTTGAGATGAGCGTAAACCGTCCGTTATTGGGCTCCTCCCCGCTCCGACCGCTGGAGCCACGTCCGCGCCCCAGCGGACCCGGTCGGCGGTCGCCCCTGCTCGCCGCTTGTTTATTCCTCGCAGTGCGTGACCCTGACCCGGCAGCTGGTAAACGTCCCGCTGCACAAGTAAACAAGTCGCTCGTAGCCAACCGCACAATTAATCCAGTAATCAATCCGGAGTCACAGTAATCCAGCAGCGCCAACGACCGGACCACAACACCAGCGAGCGACAAGCAACGGCGTGGCACGGGCAGCTCGTCGGGCGCTGAGCCCCTCGCGTCCCTCTCCTGATCTTCTCCCTCCCGCGCCCGCCGTCCCCGACCCCGAGAGCCCCAGCCCCCCAGTCCCCAGCGTCGTCTTCTTTCTCCGTGACTCGGAGCTGTCTTGCCTCACCCTCACTGCCTCTGCCTCTGCGTGCGTGCGTCACTGCCGTGCCGCTGCGCCCGCTCGCCCGCTCGCCCGCTCCCGCAATAAATAAACTCGCCTCTCTCCTCTCTCTCTCTCTCTCTCTTCCTCCGTTCTCACCTCCCTCTCATCCAGGGACCCGCCTTGACTTTTCACGTTGCGTTTGAGCGGTGCTGCTGATCTGCGATTCCTCTTCTCTCCACTCCACACCTGACCTGACCACCCGAGAGGGAATCCTCATCCCTCTTGCGCGCGGCGGCGGCGGCGGCATCTTTGGTCTCCGTGCGGGTGTTTCTGTCCGGCGTCTACTTGCCGGGCCAGCGCGGCATTGGAAGAGGAGGGATATCGGAGGCGTGATCGATGGGGAACTGCGTGGCGAGCGGGGGCACGACGACGGTCACGGCGGCCGGTGCTGCAGGGGAGGACGGGAGGCGGCGGGGGAGGAGGTGGAAGGCTCCGCGGGAGGAGCAGCTCGGTTCGGTCCCCGGCCGGATCTTTCCAACGACGGCCGCAGCCGCACCGCCGCCGTGTTCACGCAGCAGGGGCGTAAGGGGATCAATCAGGACGCCATGCTCGTCTGGGATGTAAACCACCGAATCTCTCTCTCTCTCCCTCTCTCTCTCTCTCTCTCTCTCTCTCTCCTGTTCCTCCTCGCCGTCAATTTGTTCCACCGAGATGGTGGTGGACAGGTGGTAATGTTGGTGGAGTGTCTGTCGCCTTGGCAGGGTTCGGCGGGGAGGACGACGTCGTGCTGTGTGGGGTGTTCGACGGCACGGCCCGCACGGCCACCCAGTGGCGCGCAGGGTCCGCGATGCGCTGCCGCTGAAGCTCATGTCCGCGGTGCGCGCGTCCAAGGCTGGCTTGGACATGCCCGCCGCCGCGTGGAGGAAGGCCTTTGCGAGCACCTACAAGGCCATGGACAAGGATCTTCGCCCCACGCCATCCTAGATTGCTTCTGCAGCGGCAGCACCGCCGTCACCGTCCTCAAGCTCGTACGTGCCACCGGACTTGACGCGAGTCTGCTATCCATCGATTCATCCTTCCTCGCAGAAACATATGTCAAATCAATTCTGTTGGGATGTATGCGTTCAGCTGTACACAGCCCACTGACGAGCGGTTTCTGCACGCAGGGCTCGGATCTCTACATGGCCAACATTGGTGACTCACGCGCCGTGCTAGGCTCGAGGGACAGTGGCGGCGGTGGCGGCATGGTAGCCGTGCAACTGACTGTTGACCTCAAACCGGATGTTCCCAGTAGGCCTCCATATTCTCCCTCCTCCATTATTTCAGATTTATGGATGTGGTGCCGTGTTAGGAATTTGAGTGTTAATGCTACCTTCTGTCATTTCAGGCGAGGCAGAACGGATCAAGAAGTGCAGGGGCAGGGTATTTGCTCTGCAGGACGAACCGGAGGTGCCGCGGGTCTGGCTGCTGTTCGACGACGCGCCAGGCCTGGCAATGGCCCGGGCGTTTGGTGACTTCTGCCTCAAGGATTATGGTGTCATTTCGGTTCCAGAGTTCTTCCATTGGTCGCTCACAGAGAAGGACCAGTTCGTCATCCTTGCATCAGATGGGGTAATTTTTCTACCAAGTGCTCCACTTTATTGTTCTCTGTTCGTTCTGGATATTTGCACTTGCACAGATATGAATTTGAGAGTATCTCTGCCCCCAGCAAAATCTTGCCGTTAGCTTTCATCATAACATGATTAGTTGCAATGTAATGTCAATCTGCGGCACTTTCGCATTCGTGCTCTAAGTAGCCGCACATGGTGGGCCTTCAGGGTCCAGAATGTCCCGTGCATTTCATAGGAGCTAAAGAGAATTCGTGATCATACCTACAAGTGATCCAGTCTTTGGACTTCAAAATGTTTTAGCTTTTAGGGGTCGGTTGATAAACTGTCATCATGGCAGGTGCAAGGATAATAATTTCTGCCAAGGGTCCCCTTCCTGCCTGCTGCATAGATAATGATTAGCCAGCTTAACACCCTTCTCCATTGCACCGTCACGGCCTGTTGTTATCTGCTGTCCTTCAGCTGTTAAATCTTCTCCACGTTCAACTTGAGAGGACCCATTGGTTTAATCATTTGTTCAGGTGCACCTTCCTACTCGAACAATTTGGACATAGAGCCTGTGGCTAGGGACTCTTCATTGCATTAGATAAAATTAAAATTATCAAGGGCTCTTCAATGCATTAGGGGAAATTAAGATTCTCATTGTCTAGTAACTTGCTTCCCTGTTGATGATATTTGCATCTGAACGATGTGGATCTGTGAGTAGTAGGCGGACCTTGCACAATTTTCTGTCATTGAAAGACTGATATTCTTTCTTTGGACAACTTATTTATCACAGGTCAGTATGTCGCTGTTATATAGTTCAGGAACCAATCAAAATTAAGAGTGAAGTATTTAACCATACCAGTTGTTTTAATGAAACTGATTATCACTTACCAGTAATGTACTGGCTCAAAATTCTCCTTTGATCCATACATCCTCGCTTGAACACTCTTTTGATTAGTGCGCCCACACTACATTTGCCTAAATAACTTATACTATCAAAAGTGAGATTTTGTCCTGGTAGAACTTTGAGCCCTTTGTTGAAATGATTGTGGTTGGTGAAGATAGTTTATTTTTCCATATGTAATGGACTTTCTATCACATTTCAAACATTCCTTTAATGGACGACCCGTTGGGTCGATTGTTAAGTCACTGTCTGCGTAGTTGGTTTTACCTTTTGCCACTGTTTTCTTAGCAATTTTCAAAGCATGCTACTTTAGCTCCTTTTAGCATCTATGTTTTTTTTTTAAAAAAAAAGTTAAAGAGCATTCGTGTGGAATCAGCAAGAGTGTTTTTATTGGTCCGCTTATGGATGCGTTTTTTAATCTTATGTTTGTCCTTCCGTCTTCTCTTGTTTGGCTCATTTCCCCTGTTTCTATGTAGTTGTACTTAACGAAATTATATAAGATGCGCTGCCACTTGGCAGAATTGTACTTCTATATATCTAATGCTAATGCAAATCATGCAGGTGTGGGATGTCCTTAGCAACCAGGAGGCTGTTGACATTGTGGCATCATCCCCAAGCCGATCAAAGGCTGCAAAATCCCTTGTCGAGGCCGCTGCTCGTGAATGGAAAACCAAGTACCCGACATCAAAGATCGATGACTGTGCAGTGGTTTGCCTATATTTGGATGGCAAAATGGACCATGAACGTGACTCGACGGCCTCCATGGACAACATCAGCCTCGACGAAGGTTCAGTCGCAGACCCAAATGAAGCTCAGGAGCAGGAGCCAGCGCTGACCCGCAACTTCACGGTCAGGACAGTAGCCGGAAGCGCCCATGAGAAGGCACTGTCGGGGGCGGTAGATGCTGTTGTCGCCGGCGCAGCCCACGATCAGAATTGGTCGGGCCTTGATGGAGTGACGCGGGTGAACTCGCTCGTGCAGCTTCCCAGGTTCTCCGAGGAGAAGGCGATTGGCTGATGAACTGCAATTCTTTGGTTTTAATTAACTTATTTTCTCCTGTTTGAAAATGTAGTTTAGTTGCCCGTTGTTTGAGAGGAAAGGTAGAAACGAAATATGGTCTTGTGATTTGCATCGGCGCGTAGCTAGTGTGTTTGATCCAATGTGGTTAGTGTGTGAGCTGCGCAAAATTGTGCTTTCTGAAGTACAAAGGGTTCATCCTGTCTTGTGTTCTACCTTCAGGTATGATAAGCATGCCTGAAAGGTGAAACAGCAAGGGCACCTTTTGTTCAGAGCTTGCAATTTTGCTGTGTTTAAACGAACAGCTCGTTCTCCTGAGCACAGTGGGCGCAAACGCGTGCTAAGGCGCCAGTCATCTGGGATGATGACGCTGTCGGGTGGACCTGTAAATTCCACCACCGTCCACCGGCACTTGGCTTTGTAAAGAGATGCATCTGTCTGGGCTTTTCCCGGGCGTAGCTTTTGTTGACAGGGCGAGGAGAGCTGTGTGTGTCAGCTTTACTGATCGTCTGATCGATCTGCATCTGCATGGTGCTTGACATGGCATTGCCCCGTGCTGAAAAAATAAGGCGAAATATTGTTCCGGCTGATTTATTGTTAGAGAAAAACATCGTTCCGGCTAAAAAAACAGCTGAAAAAGACGGATTATAAGAGAAATAAACAGGACCAAGGTTAGACTATCTCCAATATCACCCAAAATACAAGACTCATTTCATATTTAGATAGAACCCTTATTGTAAATAAATCTTTAGAAGAGAGGATAATATTTAGGGATCCAGGACCATTATGCCTAGTAGCGAGGAGGCGAGACAGGTCGGAAGTTTGATTTCTGAGTGGAATGTTGTTCACACGAGAGAGTGAAATCGCGCTGCACATGAGCTCGCACAATTGGCGTTGAGATTGAACAGTTCGGCTGTTTGGCGCAGTGTGGTTCCAGTTTTGTATCGAGCAAATCATTGCTCAAGATTGTAACATGATCAATGAGCAATAAAAGAGCCTCTCTTTTCTTCGAATAAAAAAAAATCTCGTATATAGATACTCTGTTATAAACTAATATGTTATAAACTAATTTAATATCATTCAAGATTTATTTTAGATTTGGATGTCTATATACATCATCCGTTGGAGGCAGCCTTGCTGCCCCATTTTTGCCCTTCTCGGTAGCCGTAGGCCTTGCATGCTGCATCTTGTCTGGAATGTATGTAACCTGCCGAAATGTGCTGTAGAGCTGTACTGTGTACTGTACAGCCCAACTGCACAAGTTTGGTATCCGTGCCAGGCTTCGTGGATCTGCGTACGCTCGTTCGAACTGGACTTATGTTCGATTTTTTTCGTCAACGAACATTATTTTTTTTTTCTAACAAATCACCAACAAATGATTTTCAAATATACTTTATCACCTAAACGAATAACATGGCACTAATTATTTGCTCCTAATTTGTCGATCGCTTCTTAGCACTATTTCAGAGACTTTCAAAGTGAATCTAACAACGCTTTTTCTCTCATAACAAATCAATATAAGCAGTTGTTACCATTTCTGCACTCCCCTACTGATGGCTGTGTAAGTGTCATAGTGTTATTGCACGGTACGAGCTGTAGATGCAACTGATGGTGGTAGATGACACTGTACTGTACTTGAATAGGGGAGTGCAGCGGCTAAACACAGTGCTGCAGAACCGTGCAAATGAAACTAAGCAGCAGGCACTGTTGAAGCAGCAGTAATAACAATGAAGTTACTACTGGTATACGAAGGACTTTAGGGCGCGATTAGTTGGCTTAAATTTTTGGTTTGGGCCACCGAAGACTTTCGCTTCAGATTTGATAATTAGTGTTCAATTATGGACTAATTAGGTTTGAAAGTTTTATCTCACGGTTTCTTAACCAATTGTGCAATTAATTTTTTTTATCTATATTTAAGACTCTAACGATACTGCTGTAAAGATTCGATACGACACTCTGGGTGAAATTTTTGAAACTAAACAACGTGGACGATGCGACTGGTGCGTACTAGTGGACAAGAAGCGACCCTTCCATGGTGCCCAGGACCGGCACCCGGCAGGCGGCAGGCACCGTACCAGTACCGACGGGCGACGGGTACCGGTCACGTGATCTGGATCTCGCATCCAATCTGTCGCTGACCAACGACACGACATGGCATCACATTCACATTCACCGCAGCAGTCATCGGCACATTCTACAGCCAGCGATACTGTTCATACCGGCAGCGGCGCGTTCCGACGGTGTCCAGAAGCCACTGCGCCGAACGTGTGGCCGCGCGCAACTGCGGCGCTGAAATCGGCCGCCGCACCTGATGCAGGTTCTGACACCCAAAATATACACAGCTGCTCTCTTGTTCTTTCCGTCCCGGTTCCTACACGCACTAAAACTAGAAGAGTAGGGCCTCCAAAACTCCTACCGTCTTCGGAAGTTCACCCGCTCAGATAAAAGACGATAATCACGCGTTTTTGGGGAGGTCGTTGGCAGACGACTACCGCCACGCCACACGCCCCTTCTTCCCGACGCCACAGACGTTGAAGGCCCTCCGTGATCGGCATCGCTTCCGTATGCATCGCAACAAGCTTGAACGACTACACCGGATGCATACTATATCGACAAGTACATCCGGCTCTGCCGTTGGGTATGTCTCTGTTCTTCGCTATCCAGTAAGGTCATGTATCAATAACTTGCTGGTTAGTATCATATACATGGTACTCATGCTTAGTTCACACAAGCACGTATTGTCATAAACCTTTTGGTTATCGCTATTTTTGGATTAAATTGCTATTGAAATGTCTAAATATATAACAATCCAAAAACGTGATAGGCAATTTTCGTAATTGGCTTTTGCGAGTATCAAGAGGTGGCGCAGATGCATTCTATGGTTGACTTCTATGCATCGCTATTTTGTTGTCGAACCTAGGGTCATAAATGCATACCTCACGATGAGGAGCGCATGCTCAAACATGCCGATACTACGCTCAAGGCTGCAATTTTGAGCGTGTGTTTAGAGACACCATAGTTGATGCATATGTGCCGCCATAGACCGGGTAAAGAGATGTGGGACGACTTGAGGCCAAATATAGGGTTTCGATGTCGGTTCTAAGTTGTATGTCATGGAGTAGTTTCATGACTACAAGATGGTCGATGGTCGCTCAGTAGTGGAACAAGCTCATGAGATACAAACACCCATAAAAGAGCTCAAATTTTGGTTGTGTGTTACCGATAAGTTTGTAAGTGTGTTGTATCATTGCTAAGTCGCCACAGCTTGGACAGATTTTGCTACTTCTCAAACATAAGAGATGGAGTTTGGCATTGCCGAGCTCATTGGCTCTTTGATGTTGAAGAGAAAGCAAGAGCAAAGGACGTTTGTGGCAAAAATTGGTGAGGGAGTTCTAACGCCCATGTGGTGTAAAATCCTCCCAAATCCCACAAGAAAAAATTCTACTAAGAACTCAAACAAAAGTCCACAACTCCTTTTAAGAAGAATAAGAAGAACAAGAAGGAAAATTGTTTCACTTGTCGCAAGCTCTGGGCACTATGCTAGAGAGTGCGAGGAGGCCAAGTGAAAGCCAAACAAGAAAAACAAAAACACAGCTTGAGATCTGATGCAGAACGAGGTACGATAATTTATTGCCCCACCGTTTTTCTGGGCTTGTCATTCACCAATTGGTGGGTTGATACAGAGCAAATATCCATGTGCTTGATGTTTCTTTGTTTTCTTTTGGCGGTGTTCATAGACCGGGGGTCCCTCGATGGACCTAAGCTTCTCAAAGAAGGCTCGCCCAAAGCAGACGATGTTATGAACGACGCAAGCAACTCCTGGCCGCCCAAATACCTAAACGACAGCCGTAAGAACGATCCATCTTCCATCAAGGCATGGCTAAGAAGAACAAAGCCGCTCCGACTCCGCCCGCCTCTCCAACCAAAAAAGCTCGCCAAACACCGCTTCCGACCACCTGCCTCTCAATTAATGATGCAATCAACCCCTATTTACAGCCTTCTTCTTTCATCGGGCAGCCAGAGCCGATCGACCAACTGACTCGAGACGCTGGCCGGTGAGGACCGTGAAAGGGACGGGGCAAGTAAGGCAGGCACTTGAGTCCCACTGCAATACCATGGACCGATCTTGTACACCAAGGACAGAATCGATAGGACAAGTCGAGGAAGGGTGCCCCTGCAACCTTCCAAGCATGCCGTAACCCAAGAAGTGTTGTGGGCGCCGACATTTGCCTTACAAAGGTTGTGGGCGCCCCATCAACTCCCATACCAGATAAACGCGGTAAGACTCTCCCCCACATGCCTCTGGGCATCAATGGAAGTTGTGGGCGCTGGCCATTTACCATACATGGTGAATACTTGTGAAGACCTCCCACATGCTTCCTAACAACAACAACAAAGGTTATGGGCGCCTACCATCATCTTGTACCCGACGGGCGTGAACAACAAGACTTAGTAGCACACGCATTCTCTCTCTCGCCAGTAAGGTCGCCCTTCATCTATAAAAGGGGATGCGCCTCCCAAGAGAGGGATCCCAGAGTTCACTCACACAAAACAAAGCAGTAACCACTAGGTTCAAACCTCGAGCACACGCTCAAACACTCAACAAGACGTAGGAGCTTCGCTACTCTCGCCCTTCAGCATCAGAGAGTCCCACCGTCTCTTGCACCCCCATCTTTTCTCCTTCTCGCTTGTAACCCCACAAAGAAACTTCGAGCACCTAGGCTCGTGAATAAAGTCACCAATCGACTTGAACTCGGACGTAGGGCACATTGCCTCAACTAGTATAAACCATATGTCATTGAGTGCTAGGCCACATCCCATCACAACGCATAAACAAAACTATAAATATTTACGTGTTGGTCACTTCTCAGACCGCTGGCTGGCGCCATTCGTGGTGAAGACGCTGTATCGCTCACGCTTTTAGTCATCGAATGTCCCACTTTTCTCGCCACCTTCACCATGGTGGGCTCAAGCGATACGACTCGATGGTTTAGCTCTGC